GAAAGAGAGAAAGAATGAAAGAATACTTTCATCCTTCCACCACATTCTATTTATACTAACAATTTTCAGAAATTACACGTAAGCCCCAATAACTCCCTCATGAGACTCATCTCTCTCGATCTCATAAGTCTTAACCCACAACATATTTACCTATTTATAGAGTTAATAATTTCTTGTTGACAAGGATTACAATTCATTATAGGCCAAGACTTCCCAAATAAGAAATTACCTAATAGAATACAACTCTAAAATAGAATCCTAATTAGAATAGGAATTTGAGACACAATTTCCAACAATCTCCACCTTGGCTCAAATTCCATCTAGCCAATCATCGTTTTCCAAGGCATTGATCATGAAAATTCTTTTGCAGCTTTAATCTTGACGATACTCCTGCAAAACTGCAATTGTCCACATTATACATTGCTCAATCAATCAAACCTCTAAGGCTCCACCTTGATTACTCGAGCTCCATGCCATGTAACCAAGTAAATTGACTCCACCTACAATTGAAGCCCGTTGCAGCACATGTTGAGACTTCTCATGTTTTCTGGATTTCCTTCACCTTTGGCTCTGATACCAATTTGTTAGGCAGCGGAAGCACGCGAAACACAAAGATCCAATGATAGGCAACAAAATAATCACATGCAAACACAAGATATACATAGTTCAGCCAAAACCGGCCTATGTCCATGGATGAGAAGAGATTCCACTATGATTCGTAGAGATATTATAACAATAGAGTATCAACACCACGTATATGTCTTTTCACCATGTACCACTCCACGAGCCTATCTCCTCGCTACCAGTGTCAGTGGTGTTTTTTCTACTCTACCAACCTGCATACTACCTCTACCCATCAACCCCCTTATCAGACTACATCTCTCTCAATCTCATAAGTCTTAACCCACAACATATGTACCTATTTATAGAGTTACAAACATAATTCCTTGTTGGACAAGGATTACAATTCCTTAGAGGCCAAGCCTTACCAAATAAGAAATTACCTAATAGAGTACAACTCTAAAATAGAATCCTAATTAGAATAGGAATTTGAGACACAATTTCCAACATCTACTTTGGCTCTTGTTTTGGGATGCAGCACTAGTTCTTTACCCATTTCTTATTTGGGTAAGCCTTTAGGGGCTTCGTCCAGGAGTGTGGGCAGTTGGATCCAGTGGTGGAGAGATATGAGAAATGCTTGGCCAGTTGGAAGAAGCAATACCTTTCCAAAGGGGGGAGGGTCACTCTCTTGAAGAATACTTTGTCAAGTCTTCCTAAGTGCTTCCTTTCAATCTTCCAGACTCCCTCTTCAGTGGATGAAAGGATGAAGAGGCTGCAGTGAAATTTTTTATGGGGCAGTAAAAGGGAGGAATTCAAGTTTCATTTGGTGCATTGGGAGATAGGTTTGCATCCCGATTCGGAAAGGAGGTTTGGGTATTAGAAGATTAGTGCCTTTTAATAAGGCTTCATTGGGGAAATGGCTTTTGAAGATTTGGTGTGAAGAGGTATGGACTTTGGAGATGGGTGATCGTGAGGTGAGAATCCAATTTGGGGTTGGGGTTTAGAAACACATCGGGAAGGGTTGAGGTGAATTCTCCAAATACATTAGATTTCGTGTCAGAGATGGCAGGAGAGTACATTTTTTGGATGACATCTGGCGTAGGGATCGTCCCCTTGCTTTCACATTCCCGAGACTTTTTTGGATTGCTTTTGATAGACATGCCGTGGTGGTCGACTGCTATCGTCTTGATAGCGGCAGAGCGGTGTGGGATGTACATTTCTTGAGGTTGTTTTAGGATTCGGAGATAGGATGCATTTTGCTTTTTGGGGTGGTTGTATCGTCAGGAGATTGTGTAAGAGACTTCTGACTTTTGTGTTTGGGTTCCATCCTCTCATGGGCTCTTTGATGTTTAGTCTCATGGATGCTCCTCGACCATCCTTTCCATGCAGGGTTGTTTGGGTCGTTTGGCAAACAAAGGCGCCTCTCAAAGTCACATTTTTTGCATGGACATCCGTTTTGGGAAAGATCTTGACCCGGGATAACCTTCAGAGAAGAAGACTGATTGTGGTCAATTGGTGTTTCATGTGCAAAAATGATGAGGAAATGGTTGATCATCTTCTTTTACATTGCCCCCGTGGCCCATGATTGTTGGTTCTTGTTTTTGGGTTTGTTTGGGATTCATTGGGCCATGCCACAGTCCAGCAGAGGCTTCATTGAGGCTTGGAGAGGTTGTATAGTGGGGGGCCAAGCTCGTGACTCTTGGAAGGTCACTCCTTTGTGTGTTTGGTGTTGTCTTTGGCTTGAAAGAAATAGAAGAGCCTTTGAAGGAAAGGAAAATCATATTGGATCGTTGAAGTTCTCCATTCTTAGCACCCTTTTTGTTAGGTGTTAGGAAGAAATTTCTAAATCTTTGGATGAACTCGTAGAATTTTTGGAATTGTTGAGGGTTTAGAAGCCCTCAACAAATTTGAGATATGCGTTCCCCTTTTGAACGCTTTTAATGAATTCTTACTTATCAAAAAAAAAATTGATGATGTGAACCTTCAATTGAAGTGACACCACATATATACCATTGCAACTTTCATGCACTTAATATGCCAAACACATGAAACTTTTTCTAACATTGTTTTTTAATCTTTTAATGTTTGGTTGCATAGAAAATTGAGGAAAAAATTTACAGTAAATATTTGGTGTCTGTTCTTTTTTTAAAAAAAAAACTAAATGACTTACTGATCAGAAAATCGATAAGTAAATTTACGCATTATTTATCTTCTATTTTGACAGAACCAAATAATGAATCATATCCGATTATTGGGCACAGACCCATTAGGTTCAATCTAACCCATTGAGGGCTTTGAACTTCATCTCTCTACCCCTCTGCTTCCATTTCTATAAACACAGTGTAATGACCACTAAATTTTTAACTTAATTTAGTTATATTTGAAGGGCAATTGTATAAATTTACTAAATAATTAATAAAATAGGGATAGAGCCTACTATTCTAACTCAACTAAAAAAAAAAAAAAAACTATCTAATAATGCTCTAAACTTGTAACCAAAGCCAAATTTATTTTTCTGTCACAAGCTGATTGCACTACCGTCGATTAGCTAGAATGTTACTTATTGGGCTTTCCAAGCTCACCCACACTCCTCTTTCCTACCATTTGAGGTAGTTGTACGATGGATCATTGCTAGAGGATTTACTCTGCTTAGAAGATCAACTATTTCAAAGTTTTATATGTTGGTCTTTTATTGATGATGATGATGATTATTATTATTATTATTATTATTATGATGTATCGGGGAATAAAAAAGAAGTTATTATTGTTTATAGTTGGTAGCTCTAAATAGCATATTAAGTTGTTGTTATTTATAACTCTTGGTAGTTGATTTTTATATGCTTGGAATGGATCTGTCTCTTGCTATGGATAATGAATCAAATCATGCGCTAAATTTTGTACAAAAGATAAGATGCCATAATCTCAGATTTTGGGGTGTGACACAGTCTCTCTACTTCTCTTTAAACACAGATGCTCCTTCTCTTAGGCTAGTCTCTCTCTCTCTCCATCTTATTCTGTCTGACATGTACTCTTGTATATCTAAAATCTGTTCTCAAGCTCTTTGCACATATCCATATATGTTTACGTGATGGATACATTCTCATTTCATGGACATTGTAACTTGGTAGCTTCTAATTTTAAAAGCATGACCCTCTCTTTCTTTTTTGTTCTGGGAGATCCTCCCTTTTCCGTCACCCTCTCTCTAAAAGAACGCGATTTCTCTTTCTTTCTTCACCATACAGACCAAACTAAACATTGTTCCCCACAAATGCTGAAATGTTCACGGTCACAGAAATTCACGATCAGCTTTGATTAAATGCAAATTACGTGTAAAATAGAAGGAATCAACCAATTAAAATTTAATTTACGTGTCAGATCTCTTTTTCTTAAAACATATTTTCAGAAACTGAACACTGGAAAATAAAAGAAAGAATTTTTCATGTAATATATTTAACATCAAAACAAACAGAGCCTTAATTGGTTTTCTTGCCCCTACTTCAAAGAGGACTCATATATTGGCTATATATATGGGATTATGGAAAATCTAGGATAAGTTCCTACACTAAATGGTTTTATATCACAGCGAGAGAGATTTTTATAGGGAGCTTATGGGCACAGTTCTTTTTTTTTTTTTTTTTTTCATTTATGGGCACAGTTCATTAGATGGAGAATTATCAAAGCACGGATAGAAGCGCAGATCACATGAGGAACGGATTCGTTTATTAGCAGCAGCTAAGATTGGGTTAGATCATGTGGCGTAAGTCTGGGTGAAAAGTAACTAAAGAATTCTTGGGTTAGAGTTCATTTAACCTAATTGTGAAATTTTCTTTTGATTATGGCTATGGGTTTGATCTGCCTTGACTAGGTCCTGTGGCTTTTCTCTGTGTGGAGTTCTTCACATTAAAAAATGTGTTCGTGTGTATCTGATTGGTTTGGTTATTTTTGCTCTCTATAGTTTGAATTATTTATAATTGCATTTCAACCAAACTGTTAAATTTTAAATTCAGTTATTATTACTTAAATGCTGAACAAGATTTATTTATGACTCTAGATCTATTTTATATGGCATAGCACACTCTGCCCATATCAGAGCATTGAGTAACAATCTATATTTGCCTTGATCAACAATAGCATCCAAGATTTACTATTTATATCTTAAAGTATTCTTAAGAAGTGATGAAAGCAAACTTGGGAAAGAAAAAATATTTTGAATAGTTTCATGACAAAACCTAACACATAATACATATTCAAAAAAAGTTATCACTAGAAAAACTAATGCTTCCGACAAGGCAAAAGGAAATAGAGCCTCTAAGCATCAAAATGTACGACATGAATTAAAGGAAGCACAAATAATAATAATAATAATAAATAATATATAATAATAATAATTCTGTTAATTAAGACAGGATTTAAAATAGATCTAAAACATTGAAACTCACCAAAGTATCAAAATCCTGCTCCTTTGGTGATTTTTCATCTGTTATAGGAACCCGTTCATAGTCAACGAGATACTCTTTTGCTTGCTGTTCATCATAGACCTGGCTTGGAGGCACATTTAAGAAAAAATATTAGTTGTTGCACAAATAAACTTTCTGAATCCCACATAACTAGGATAAGTAATGGGTATACCTCTAGCGGTGTTTTCACGGAATCACGTGTCACTGGTTCCCACTGGTCTACCATCTGACCATCAGGCAGTTCATCAGTTACAAGAACCTTATTTCCATATCTGCTAAGTCAGATGGGCAAATAAAATTCATTATCAGGCAAATATACTTAATGGTAAAGACAACTACAGAATAGTTGTAACACTCTAAATTTAAATACAAAAATACAACCAGAGAAATACCTTGCAGCTTCTACCAGGATATCTTCTTTTAATCGAGCTTCCATTTGTTCGACCCTTGCCCTATTGATACCCTAACTTAATGTAAGAAGTCAGATAAAATTGAAAAGGCTAAAGCCAAAAATCAAAACAAGGAATAAAATATTAATGCCAACTATAACGATGAGGGCCAAAAAAAAAGAGGATCATGCTGGACAATATCAATATCACAAAGATGATGTGTGTGTGTGTGTGTGTGTGTGTGTGTGTGTGTGGGTGAGAGAGAGAGAATTTAATTGTATAAACTTCTGTGAGTGTCAAAAAATTTCTGTAACGTGGCAGAAAATTAGGGGACAGATTCAAAATTTCAAACGTGGTTGGAATGAAAGCTAAAGCAAGATGCCTAAGAAATTAAGTGGAAGGAGAGAACGCAAGGGGATAAGAAATACAGAAGAAGAACCCTTTCCTTTTTCTTTTTTCTTTTCTTTATGGTGCCTATAAGTTGTAGGCGATGTACTCTATACAGTAGAAAAAGAGACAGAAATGGAGTAGGAATGTTTTTTTTTTTTTTTGACAAGCAAAAAGATATTAAAAAAGGTTCTTGAAAAATTAAAAGAAAAATGGCCATAATATAATACAACATAGTGGTGAAATGCAATGTTTCAAAACTTAGCCTACCGGGCACTCAGCCAAAACAAAAATCACCGTTGTTGCCGCCTGACTTGGTCAATATGGTTGAGTCTTGGCCGATACAGAAGTGATATTCGGCTTGGGTTTAAAAACCTCATTTTCACGTTTCCTCTCTCAAGTTTTCTAAATCTTAATACCAAATAGAGAGAAACCCAAAATCCCACCCCACATTATATTGTGGCAATACTCATACAAATCACCTTTGAATATGCAATAAAATTCACATTAAAATATGATTTTGTTGAATTTTAGAGTTCAAAGTTGCATATCGGATCGTTTTGCTCATGTTTCTTACTGAAAAAAGTTCACCACTGCGATGGACTCTGCGGCAGCAACCGCGTTTTAAAACCTTGGTGAAATGAGGAAGCCCATATCATAGAAGGAAAAATAATAATAATAATTTCTCCCAAAAAATTAGTAATGAAAAGGGTATCAAGAATGCACAGAAAAAAGTTAGAAAATAACAATAAAGGCACTACCAAATAGCATATGAGTGTATCAAGAATGAGGATCCAAGGATTTTGGTGAAGAATGAAAAAAAAATTTGACAAGCAAAATAATTACTTTGAATATTTGCTTAACTGAAATCTTGGTTAGAATAACATGGTAACCTTAGGGTTATTAGGAAAAAATAAAAAGACTATTGATGTACACGGCTACAATTTTAAACTAACTTAACTTGCATTAGAGTTTATAAAGAAGATAGAGATATAAAAGAAATAAGAAAGAATGTTTTTGAGAGATAAAGGATAAAAAAAGAGATCTGAGATAAGAGGGGGGTTAACGGAGATAGTAAGGAAAGGAGAGAAAAAGAGAAAGTAAACAAAAGTTTTAACTTCCAAGAAGGTACTAAAGAGGAATAGAGGAGAAGAGTAAATGTAGTAAAGAATATAAAAGAGGATAAAAGAGAAAATGACAAAAGAGGGAAGTAGAGAAAAAGAGAGAGAACTAGAAAGAGCAATACATAATCCAAGAAAAATTCCCATGGGGTTGACCTCAAGGAAGGTGATCAAAATCAAGACCTCTACCTTAAATGTGTTCTTAACCAACTCTCCCATCCTCTTAACGTTAGCTTGTGGATGTTGTTATTATGGATAAGGGGTTATTCATTTTCGATTTTAACATAAAGTCATAGGAAAATTAAAATAAAAAACCTAGACAGGGACCTAGATTTTATAGGCAATCATATATTTCCCTAAGCATTGGTGATCCAGCATTCACTAATCAAATTTCGGCTTCTGAGATGTACCGATTTGGGAAAAAATTGTAAGATCTAAAAATTATTAACAAAGGTGAACATACTCCATCTAAAAGTAACTTACATAAGCAAAGATTAGTGTCCAGATCTAATGACCTAACATACACATAATTCAAATTGCAGTGAGCCCTATGAGGCCAAAGCTGACTTTCCATGGAAACCATGAAAATAAAAATAAATAATGAATAAAAACTGTGAAGCCTCTAGATATAATACTAATTGTTGCCCTTTGGCCTTCCACCCCCAAGACTTCTACTAAGCATCTTTAAAAGAAATAAATCATAAGAAAAAGCAGAGAGGTAAATAAATGGGTAACAGGACAGCCCCTAGCGAGTGGAAAGAGTTATGCAAGAAGAAAGATTAAGAAAATCATTAAATCTTTACAACAAATGGAAGAAGGGATCTCTAATAGCAACAATTTGTTCAATGACTTGATGTCCTCACTTGTCGTGGATCAATGGATGATAGAGGGTACTCAGGAGTTCGGTGCAAAAATTAGCTTGAATACCCTTTTTTTTTTTTTTTTTTTTGATAAATGCTTGAATGCCCTTTAAAAAGGGGAAAAGTAAGTTGAGAAAGAGAACAAGTCATTCCTAGTTTTACGGAATTGGAGAACTCAATAAATGAAAACAAGAGAAAATTACGACTTTTAAGATTAATATAGGAAGGGAAAAGCAATTTGTATATCTATCTTGTAAGCCAAAGAAATGACTTAACCAACAATGCACCTCCTAATTTCCCTAAGCCAAGGTGTGGGAGGGCCTACCCAGTCCCCCTTAGCCTTACCATCTCCATGATAGGTTTGTACTTTTGCTCTTGGGTTTTGGAAGGGAATAATTTTATTTGCTCAACATTCACCTATCCTCTTGGGATGTTAGAATTGATTTCTTGATGTTGGTGTGTCTATATGCTTGTCCCTTACAACAAATTCTCGTCTGAGATTTTTTTGGTGTGTCTCTAGGATCTTTTACTCCAAAGGTTGTGATTGGTTAACCAATGGTGTCCAAATATAGCGCTTGTTGTAAACCTAAAGACGAGTATTCAGCTAAACTGGACTTCTTTTTGGAACAAATTTTAACTTGCCCACCAAAACGATGCCTCCATGTACTAAACGGTGGAATTGGATGCCTCCATGTACTAAACGGTGGTTACTTCATTCTGTAGATATGGTTGTTTATAAGGATGCACATCATCAGGGCATATCTCATATGGTAGCCAAAATAGTTTCTCTCTCTTTCCTTCTCTATTTGAGTCGGTTTGTGGTGATCTATGACTCTTGATGAGACCACCTTGATGGTCTTTCGAACTTGCCGCCAAGCCACATATCCCTAGAATCCCAATGGGTCGTGCCATGTTCGCATACCTTGAAGTGAGCTATATACGATCTGGAATGTGCCATGTCCTCATAACTTAAGTCGCACATCAAGCTATATATGCCCCCTTTAGTCCAGCTCCGATCCCAAGCCTTTACAGTCCTCATAGTCTTAAGAAATGTCCATTTGAAAATAGTCTTATCAATGGAGAAGAAATTCTTGCAATATAAATGCCAAATATGACTGAGCAATTCATGTTGCAAGACCGATAACATATTGTCTAAACATACAGGAAACACTATTATTGCACAACGAAAACCCTTCATTCTCCAAATCAACCCCAATATAAAGGGTCATTTTGGTTGGAGAGAAACCAGGGGAGAAGAAGAGAAAGCAGATGGAGGGAAAGCTTATGTTTTGTTTTGGAAAAAAAAAATTGGAGGGAGAGGAAGTGGCTCACTAACCTCTTGCACAGTGATTTATTATCCTTCCAAGAGTGAACAGAAACTGAAGGAAAAGATTTGTCCCTGTTTCTTATAAGTGAAATACAATTTCACCCTTATCACTCATAAAACAAAACAATATTTTCCTTTCCTTTCATTCCACTACCTTTCCTAAACACGATTTAAGGTTAATACCGTCTTTACTTTTCCTTTCCTTCACTAATGTGTTTTCTCATACTCGCATCATCAAGATTCAAGTGAAGAAGAAAAATGAAGGAAAACTAAAATTTATCTGAAAACGAATGTTGCAATAACACACCGTATATTCAAGATTAGAGAAGGGTCTCTCCTCATCACGCAAAACAAAAGGGCGTCCATTAATATACACCACCTGTTTCAAGAATAGAAAGGACAAAACAAAAAAGGAAAAGAAAAAACTGAATTAGTTGAATTAAATACACTTCAAGGATCTTAAATGCTTGTCAATTAAAAATGATACATAAAATGTTGAAATTGATTCAGCTCATAATGATGGAGCTGTCTATCGAGGTAATTCGCGAACATGGGCACTCAATATTATGCTGATTTAAGCCATCTTGTTTTAAAAAATATGGTCAAAATCATATAATAATCAATTTCATTTAGAAATTTTATGAGGATTCTACTTTCATTTTGGTTTTCTTTACAAATTAGGTTTACCAAATAACAACAATTAGACGTCCTCAACATAACTCTGTTTTCTTACCTGCGTATAACTTTCTTATTGGTTTCTCCTAAGATATAAATGTACTCTCTTACAGCTTTGTACAATATTTTTCTCATTTTGGAAACTGCTCATGGATTTTAATCGGCACTTCAAGTGAGGCTAGCCCAACTATATAATATTAAGGATGTCAAGTTTTTCCATAGGTTGGCCAACGCTCATAGAAGGGGCAATCATATTGGGAGGATTCGGGTGGAAGGGGTGATTTTGTCCAAGGAGGAAGATGTTTGTAAAGGTATTGCTGAGTACTATGAGCACTTGTTCACAACGTCGGTGAGGTGGAGACCTTTGCTTGAGGGGCTTCAGTTTGACTCTATTTCGAGTGAGGAGTGCACCGGACTGGAGGAGCCTTTTACTGAGGAGGAAGTTCTAGTTGCTCTGAAGAGTTGTAAAGGGGATAAAGCCCGAGGTCCAGACGGGTTTACTTCGGGATTCCTTTTGGAGTGCTGGGAGGTGGTTAAAGGGGAGGTTATGGGTACTTTTCATGCTTTCCACTCTCAGGAGTCTTTTGAGAAGAGTTTGAATTCCACTCTCATTGCTCTCATCCCTGCGGAGCATTGGATGTTCAGGATTTTCGCCCTATTAGTTTGGTGGGGTGCATTTACAAGTTGATTGCCAAAGTTCTTGCTTTTAGGTTGAGGAGAGTGTTGGATGGCGTGATCTCTGACTCTTATAATGCTTTTGTGGGAGGTCGTCAGATCCTGGATTAAGTTCTTATTGCTAATAAGTGTGTGGATTCCAGGCTTCGTTGTGGGGAATCAGGCGTTTTGTGTAAATTGGATATCGGGAAGGCATATGATCACGTCAGTTGGAGCTTCCTTCTCTATCTGATGGAGAGGATGGGGTTTGGAGTGAGGTGGAGGAAATGGATTCACTTTTGCATTTCCATAGCTCGAGACAGGGGGATCCACTTTTCCCTTCTTTGCTCCTCCTTGTGATGGAGCCCTCAGTAGGTTATTTAGGAGGGCTGTTGAACTCGGCTTCTTGAGTGGGTTCCGGGTGGGTAGGGATGCTGCCAGCCAGTTGGAGATTTCCCACTTGATGTTTGCGGACGATACGCTTGTGCTCTGTGATACGGAGTGTCCCAGCTCAGATATTTGAGATGCGTTCTGATCTGGTTCCAGGTTGTTTCCGGTCTCAAGGTGAATGTTGGTAAGAGTGTTTTGGTGCCAGTTGGGGAGGTCCCTGAGATCGCTTTGCTTGCTGGCATTCTTGGTTGTCGTACTGGCTTTTTTCCTATCTCTTATTTAGGGCTCCCCCTGGGTGCTCCTTCGAGGTGTGTGGGGGTTTGGGATCCTATCGTGGATAGGTTTGAGAGGAGACTAATGGGTTAGAAGAAGCGGTATCTTTCTAAGGCGGGGCGGGTCACTCTGATCAAGAGTACCCTTTCTTGTCTTCCTACTTATTTTATTTCGCTTTTTTAGATTCCCCTTTCTGTCGCTGAGAGAATCGAGCGTTTGCAGCATAACTTTCTATGGGGGATAGAGGGGAGGAGTTTAAGTTTCATCTGGTTCGGTGGGAGCAAGTGTGCAGGCCGATTCGAAATGGTGGGTTGGATCTTCGAAGATTGGTGCCTTTTAATAAAGCTCTCCTTGGGAAATGGTTGAGGAGGTTTGGGGTGGAGGGTCGTAGCGAGTAGATATGGGGAAGGTAGAGGAGGGTGGTACTCTCTTGAGGTGCATGGTCCGAGGGGTGTAGGGGTTTGGAAGTGTATTCGGAAAGGGTGGGATGATTTTTCCATTCATGTCCGTTTTAGACTTAGGGATGGCAGAAGGATTAGTTTTTGGGAGGATGTTTGGTGTGGGGATGTTTCTCTTGCTCTTGCTTTCCCACGGTTGTTCAGGATTGCTACAGACAGAAAAGCCAAGGTGGTTGACTGTTATCATCTTAATAGTGGGAGACTGGTTTGGGATGTTCGTTTTAGGCGTCTTTTTTAGGATTGGGAGGTTGAGGATGCCACTCTTCTGTTGGAGACATTGTATCGGCAGGGTGTCATAGCTGGAGACTCTAATTGTTGGATTTGGAAGTCGAATTCACAGGGTCGCTTTGATGTTCATTCCTTATTCAGGTGTCTTACAGTTGAGCCTGGAGGGTCCTTCTTGTGGAAGTCTGTTTGGCGCTCTAAGGCTCTTATCAAGGTGGCATTCTTTGCTTGGACCTTTGTTTTGGGTAAGATTTTGACCCAAGACAATTTGAGAAGGAGAAATCAAGTGGTGGTCAATCGGTGCTACTTGTGTCTTCGGGATGAGGAGACAGTGGATCATCTCCTTTTGCATTGCACCATGGCAAAGGAATGTTGGGCTTGATGCTTTGTTTGTTTGGGATGCATTGGATCATGCCTCGTTCCTCTAGAGAGATGGTTGAGACTTGGAGTGGGTGCTTTGTGAGGGCCCACATTCGTGATGCTTGGAGAGTTATGTCTCTTTGTGTGTGGTGGTGTATCTGGCTGGAGAGGAATATAAGATATTTTGAGGGCAAAGAGAGGCCCATTTCTTTTCTTAAGTTCTCTATTATTTCCACTCTTTTTTGTTAGGTTATAGGTAGAGACTATAGATCCATTGAGGATATTATTGTTTTCTTGGCCTCTTTGAAGGCTTAGAGGGCTGTTTTCTTTTTTTGACTCTATGTTGTTCTTTTGGGATGCGTTCCCCTTTTGAGCGCTTTCAATGCATTTCTTACTTATCAAAAAACAAAAAAAAAAGCCACATAAAATAGTGAATATTGTCAAAATTATATAATTATCAATTTCATTTAGAAACTTTAGGTGGATTCTACTTTCATTTTGGTTTTCTTTACAATTTAGGTTTACCAAATGTCAACAAGTAGACACCCTCAACATACCTCAGTTTTCTTACATGCGTAAATCTTTCTTACTGGTTTCTCAAGAGATAAAAATTTACTCTCTTACGCCTTTGTGCAATATGTTTTCACATTGGAAACTGCTCTCAGATTTTAAAAACTGCTCTCAGATTTTAATTCACAGTTCAAGTAAGGCTAACTCAAAAATAAAATAATTAATATGTCATATTGAACCCTGTCAATCTCATCATTCTTAATAAGAGATCCAGAGATGCCACTAAAGGCAAAGGGATGACAGCTATTGGTCCATAAGTTGGCACTTGTGAAAACTGGTAAAATGGGTGCTAGACTGCTAGTTGGTTAGGATATAGCCTTATAATATTTGAATCTTATCGCATCATGAATTCAGCGCATTACTGTATCCACGTGAAGCAGTTGTTTTATAATAGCTGCCCAAAGGTTATTGTGGTTGTCAACAGAGTTGCAGTAAATGTTAAATCTTTCTTTCTTCGTTTTCTTTTTTCTTTTTGGTGGGGGTGAATGTCAATGCCTAATAAATGACTGCTTGAACAAAATTTCCCAATAAAACTAGTCATCTTTGTGCAAGACTGACTTTGAAGTATTTGAAATCCACAATTGCATCTTGATGTCTTTTGATACTCTTTAACATTTCGAGATATTTCACTTAAAATTTTGGTGTTTCTCTCTATTTCCAAAAATATTCCATACGTCAATACTTTCTACATTATTTTCTTGTTTTGACATTTCAAATGTCCAAAGAATACCAACATTGACAATGGTGCCTTATTGCTACTTCAAAATCTGAGTTTATAAGCAAATTATGGCTTTACCGGTTCCTCACGGAGATTTATCCAAAGCACATGAGTTTGCTTCCCATCTATTTGAGCACCAATGTGATCAAGAACATTTTGTATGCCGTCAACGGTTGGAATTGCAACACCATGTACATGCAATGACTCAGCCTGTTAATAGCCATCATGAGAATAAAAAATATATATATTAAACAATGAAACGTAAAGAAATTTGAGAGGTTATCAGAGAATCGCTATTTGTTGTAATCGAGAAGGAATCTCTAAGCCTAAATTTGCATCACCATAAGAAAATGCCAAATTAGCCGTGCACTTCACAATTGTTCCCAACGGGTTATTAAGAACCAGTGATAACATTATCTATCTTACAAGATTTTTTAGAATACCATATCTAGATAGTCAACAATGAGCATATCAACACATATAAGACCACTGATCAAACCCAGATACCCTACAAGCAAAGAAGAATAGATAATTCAGGAGGAGGCTAGCTCTTTGAATAGATAATTCAGGAGGAGCCTAGCTCTTTGAAATTGATGTGTAATGCCAACTGTGAAATTGATAAAACTGCAGTGACAGAGGTATCCAGGAAGTGGTCAAGGCTTGACAAAGCGAGTAATAGGAATGAGAAATTCTCCAGGGGATCTTTGATCCCAGCACTCATTTAGATGCCTTTTTAGGACTTCTACTGGTGAAATACACATATGGGTTTGGCTTCATTTCACAGTTTTCCAGACTCATAAGCAAGTAAAAATTCCCTTATGTCAAAAAATTCTGATAATTTCACCCCGATAAGAGGGCAGGTAAGAATATGAGACCTAGGAAGTAGAAGAAGTATCAGATTGATAATCCACGGGATCAGAACCACCAATCACGAAAGCAAGATTTGAAAATAGAATTTAGAAAATAAGTTGAGGAAATAATAGAAAGTAAAGAAAGGGATCGAGGCATTTGGAGCATTTTTTTTTTTTTTCCTAGAAAGAAGTGGGAGGGGCAAACCTGACGGTAATTGGGAGCACCATCGATTTGTGGAGACAAGCGCTTGTTCTGGCAGCCAGGAAAATGGTCGCTCTTAAGAATGGTCTTCTTGCCTAGTACGGATCCCCCTCTTTGCTTCATGACCTGCTCCGGCTCCTTCGGTATCGACATGGTCCGCTCCTTTGATAGATCTCAAAATACACCTTCTCCCAAAAACAAACTCCTCACCCGTCTGTATGATTTTACTGTACTACTTTTCTGTGAGGCTACTCCGTGGCCATCGATAAAACAAACCATTGAGAAGCAGATGTCCAACCAAATAAAAGAGATAATAAAAGAAATAAAATGGAGGGTTAATATACCTGGTGAGCATTTTCCATTTACTTAATATTTACATATCTATATCTTGTTAAAAAATTATTGACTTTTCAGTTTTTATTAAAACAGTAGGTGAAAAAATGCACTTTTCAATTAAAATATTTATTGTAAATTTTAAAAAATAGTGGCTATTCATTTTTATTATATATAAAAAAAGATGTTTTATTAAAACAATTATCTTTTAAGGTAAAAAGTAATAAAATCTTTTAATTATTGAGGTATTTTATAAGAAATCTCTCTAACTACGATAAACACCTGTGTAAAACAATGGAATATCACCTCGAATGACACCGATGAAGTACTAGCCGAGGACCTTCCGACGATCAAGTTTGTACTTGAAATCATATCACATAAAAATCATTCTATATTCAATGTTTAGGGATTTTTTCTCGTACCTTGTTTAATGGCCAATTACTATATTTATGGTTGCATCGGGTTCTGGGTGCTTACGTAGATGTCGATTAGAAATATTTTGTTTATCCTTTCTAACTGATCTCCTTTATCTTTCACAACTGAATGAAATGATTTATGTTCTTTTCTATGAAGTTCAAGGGAACTGTTCAGTAAAAGCAGCGGTCAAAGGGTTATTTTTCTCCTATCATTTAGCCCCTCGGGTACTATTCCCGTTGTGCCAAAAGTTATGGCATAAAAGGGTGAGTTCAATTCCACCTTGATTTTTGTCGGAGGTAACGTGATTGCTCGATTCTCTTTGGAACCCGAGGTCAATAGTTTCACCCCCAAGGTGAATACTAGGTAGATTTTTTTTTTACCTCAGGTACTATTCCTGAGGTATCCAAAAGTTTTCACATGAAAGGCCTGAGTTTAAATCCGACCACCACGTGATTCTTTGATTCTCTTTGGAATCCAATTTTATTTTTTACTTGGGTTACAAATTCCCCCAAGCGACATACAAATCCCACATGATCGCTTTATTCTTTTTGGAAATAATACGTCTGTAGTGATCAGTTTTACCTCGGATACTATTCTCGAGGTGAACAATAAATTTTTGAATTTTTTTTACCTTGGGGTAATGTTCCCGAGGTGAATAGTTCTACCTCGGCTATTATTCCCGAAATGAACAACCGTTTAAAGGGTATAGGTTCAAACCCTACACTTAACAACACCGATGTACAGTTACAGTTGGATTCCCTTTGGGAATCAACACACACTATATGTATATGTGTGTATATATATATGCATGTATTTTATGAGCTTCACACATCACGTCCCTTTAATAAAGGAATAAGTTTTACGAGCTTCACTCAGCTCGTCCTTCAATAAGGTAAGTAATAATTTCGAGCTTCACCCTGCCCGCCCTTTTAATAAAATGTTTAATTTTTTCGAGCTTTACTTACCTTACCTTTTTAATAAAGGGTTAGTTTTTACAAACTTCACCCAGTTCACCCATTTAATAAGGGGATGTTTTTTCCGAGCTTTTTAAGTTTGCCCTTTAATAAGGGAATATGTTTTTTTTTTTTTTTTTTTTAGCTCCATGAGTTTGCCCTTTAATAAGGGAGTAAATTTTTCGAGTTTCGTGAG